CCTAAGTGATCCCTGAACAATCCTCCTGCTGCTGCTCTCCCACTTGGCGCTCGTACAGAACCATCCGATTGCAGTTGGATCCACCCTTCATCTGGTTGTTTCCATCCCACCAAACAGGATAGTTTCTTCTTTTGAACCAGGCCTGAGGTCTTCTGTATGTTGGCATGAGCCTGATTCACAATGTTGAACCATGCCTTGATTCTTGTTGTGACACTTTCTTTCATAAAGGTACGCCCTTCCATTACCTCATCATTCCTTTGTTTCCAAAGTTGCCAGCAAATGATCCCAAACTCAGTAGTTGTTTCTTCAAATCTGATATTGTGCATCAGCCATTCATCGAAGTTCAGGTTACTGTTTTTGGTAGAATCCTTGCTCTGAAAGATCTCCCAAATGGTCTTGGCTTTTTTGCACTTCCTGAGGATGTGCTCAATCGTTTTTTCTTCTTCTTTGCAATGGCTGCACAGGTTGTAAGTTGTCAACTTCCTTCTCTCCCTATCTTTGTTGGTGAGGAGGCAATCATGGGTTGCCAGCCATAGGAAGTGTTTTATCCTACTTGGCCCCCTCCACTTCCAAATTTCTTTCCATTTTCCATTCTCCTCCTGCTCCTCCATGTCAGCTACAAGACTGTATGTTGATTTCAGGCTGAACCTTCCATCCTTTTCCAAGCCCCATATAGTAACATCCTCTCCCAGCTCAGGGTTAGGTGCATCAGTTCCTGCAATGGTCAAGACCACATCATTAGGGAGGTAGTGACCTAGTTTGATCCAGTCCCACTTACCCTCCTCTGTGACCCAGTCAGCAACAACAGAATCCAGTTCCTCTTCATTGATGTCGACAGTGGCAAGGTCAGCAAGAATTGTGTTGTTGTCAATCCAAGGTTGCTTCCAGAAGAGAGTACTCTTCCCATCCCTGATGCTCCAACATGTGGCCTCTTTCATCAGCCTCATTCCTCTAACAATGGCTTTCCACAAATTGGAGTGGTTTCTCTTCTTCATTGTAGTAATGTCACCCCCCTGATGCTTGAAATATTTCCCCTGCAGGACCTGGACCCATAGATCAGAAGCATTATTAAGCATATGCCACCCAAGTTTAATCATGTAAGCCATGTTCATATGTCTAGAAGATTTAAGACCTAAGCCCCCTTGACTCTTTGGTTTATAGATATTCTCCCAGGCAATAAGATGAGTTTTCCTTTTACCCTCAATAGAACCCCAAACAAAGGATCTAACCTTCCTATCAATAGCATCGCAGATAGATACTGGGAGACAAGTGGTTTCCATAGCATAGGTAGGGAGTGCATTAAGTACAGACACAGCCAAAGTGACTTTACCAGCCAAGGAAAGAGTTCTGGCTTTCCAGCTGGTGAGTTTCTGGTCAATCCTGTCAAGAATGAACTTGTAAGTGCTCTTAGTGATTCTGCCATGTAACACAGGAACACCAAGGTATCTGCCTAGGTCTGAGGTAGCCTGGATTCCTAGTCTATTGCAAATATCAATATTATCCTTGTTCTTAACATTCCTAGAGAAAAAGACCCTAGACTTCTCTTTACTAATCATTTCACCAGAAGCCAGGCAGAAATTGTTGAGACATTTCATAACAACATCAGCTTGAGCAGTGTTGGCTTCAACAAACAGGACAAGGTCATCAGCAAAGAAGAGGTGTGAGAGGGCAGGACCCCCAGGGGAAAGCCTAATCGGGTTCCATCTATGGTTCTTAACTTCACTACCTATACAGTGACTCAGTCTCTCAACACAAAGAGTAAAAAGATAGGGAGAGAGAGGGCATCCCTGTCTGAGGCCCCTGGATGGTGTGAAGCTTTCAGTTTCACCTCCATTCCAAAGCACTTGGTAGCTTGTAGAGGTCACACACTCCATAACCCACTTAATGCATTCATCAGGGATTCTGGCAGCCTTGAGGGTTTCATGAAGGAAGTCCCACCCAATCCTGTCATAGGCCTTGGCAAGGTCCACTTTGAGCACCATGTACCCCTTTTTGCCACTTTTCCGAGCCATGGAGTGGATGGTTTCCTGCATGATAATTATATTATCAGTGATATGTCTCTTAGGGATGAAATTGGACTGGTTTTTGTTTACTAGATGGGCCATGAGAGATTTCAATTGATTGGCAATCAGTTTAGCAATGACTTTATACCCTACATTACAGAGGCTTATGGGTCTGAACTGGCTCATAGAGGTTAGGCTATCCACTTTGGCGATCAGGGTAATCAGAGTATCATTCAACAACCTAATTCAGTTGGGATAAAGGAAACAGGAAATAATGAACCCAGCAAAATCCCTCCCCACAATGTCCCAGCATTTCTGATAGAAGATGGCTTGGAATCCATCCTTACCAGGGGCTTTGAGTCCATTCATATCTTTAATGAAAAGTCTAGCATCCTCAACATTGGGCAAGGAAGAAAGCTTGGTAAACAAGTTATCATCAAGAGGAGGGAAATCAGCAGGAATAGAGCAGTTCAGATTCAACGAAGACATGGTGAATAAGTGAAGAAAATACTCCCTGACCATGGTGAGGAGAGTATCAGCATCAGTGATCCAGTCTCCTTGGTCATTCTTCAGGCAAGTGATTCTGTTTCTCTTCCTCCTGCTAAGGGTGATGGAGTGGAAGTACTTGGAGTTCAAGTCCCCAAAGACAACACAGTTGGTTCTGGATTTCTGAATCCAAAGCATCTCCTCTTGCCAAAGGGTATCCTCCAGCTCTTCCCTAGTCCTTTGCTCCTAGTTGAGGGAGTTAGTGGTTGGGCGTCTCTCATTGAGGATTTCTAGGGACTTAAGCTCATTCAAAAGTCTTCTTTTCCTCTGGAAAATGTTTCCATAGACCTCTTTGTTCCATTTCTGTAGCTCAGATGAGAGCATCCTAAGAGATGAAGGGAAGTCTTCACCTCTCCTCCATATAGAGCACAGGAAGTCAGGGAAGTTTTCATGTGCTAGCCAAGAGGCTAGAAACTGAAATCTTCTTTCCAACTTCTTTTTGGTGGATTGAGACTCTGTGCAGGTCAGAATGGGTCTGTGATCAGACTTGATCTTAGGGAGATATAAGGTGGAAGTGCCTGGAAACTTGTGATGCCAGCTCAAGTTACAGATACTTCGATCAAGTCTCTCCTTGATGCCTGAGTGTCTTGTAAACCAAGTAAACTTAGGACCAGAAAATCCAAGGTCCATGAGTCCACAGTCCTCCATGCACTCATTAAAAGCTCTAACTTTGGCAAAGTTGAACGCAACACCTCCTTGCTTGGATGTTTGTATACATTAACAAACAATGGCTTTGGACAAAAAAACATGATGGTTGGTATTTGGAGATCAAATACAACATCCAAATCCCATTAGCAATCAACACCTTAATTTTTTTTTGGGTTAATTGCATATTTGGTCAATAGGTTTAATAAAAATATTCATGTTTAGTCACTCCAAATATTTATTTCCATTCGTGGTCACTGAAATTAGTTCAACAGTTCAAGTTTGTCACTGTCCGTCCAACTCCGTTAATTTTGTCTGATATGACAGTCAACTACTATAGTTGACTGTTAATTATGTGACGTGACAATTAAAATATAATAAAAATATAAAATTTATCTTTTAATTTCCACCTCATTTTCACCATAAAGTAAAAATAAACAAAAAACAATAATTATAATTTATAATTACAAAGAGGGAAATCTTCCTGCATTTGAGTTCGACTGTCTTCCTTGAGTCCATGTCTCCTTCAATGTCGTAAACTTTCTCACTGTGCCTGAAAACTACTCTTAGCTCATCCCTGGTGTTTCCATTTCCTCTCCTCCTCCCTTCGATCCCTTACCCCCAACATATCGATCGAAAACCCATCTCGAAAATTATCAATTGATCCCCAATTCGGCCGCGTTCCATCTCCTTAACTCATGAATACAACGGTGGAATTCTTCCCCGGCGAAGTAATCCTCCAGATTCTGGTTCGATTGTTAGTCAAGCCACTCTTGCGAGCTAGAACGGGCTGCAAACGATGGGGTTTTCCGAGCTATTAGATGTCTCTGATTCCTCGGAATTGAAATCCACCTGAATATGTATTATCGATAACCTAGATGGTAGCACTCGACGCAGGGCCGCACTGGAGCCAGTTGACGTCGCTGCCGGTGTCGAGGACCATGTAGAAGAGTCGGGGTGCCTAGACCAACCAGGGAGAAGTACTCTCGCTGTCTTGGTTCGACCTGGGCATGACCAGGGTCGATAAATTGAACTAAGAGACGCGGCTGCTAGGAGTTGTCGTCGAGGAGAGGAGTGAGGTCGAGGTCGGAGTCGGAGATGGATTGGATGTTGGCAGAATCACGATGGAGCCTGGCGACAATGAGGGATTTGTAGTCCTGGTGGCTGGATCTGATGACGAATTCTATGGAGAGAGGTCGAGGGAGAATGGGGAGGCGATGTTGAGGTGGAAGGGGGAAAATGTTTGTTCGGAGACGTCGATGGACGTCTCTCCTTTTGGGGAGGGAGGTGTTAGAGTGCGAGGGATAAATGGAGTTAGGAGGAATGGTCAGGAGAATGACAAAGAAGGAGAGGAATGTTGGTGAGGCAGTCATTCTCACTCTATAATTTGTTTCTTTGGAGATGGAAGAAGAAGGAAAGAGAGGGTGGGGGAGGAATTAAAATTTGAAAGGGTGGAGATTTTTTGGGAGTTTTTTTTTTTTGTAGATTATAGTAAATTAAGTTAAAATTTTATTTTTAGTAGTTGTGAAAATGAGATGGAAATATTAAAAGATAAAAATTATTTTTTATTATATTTTAATTGTCATGTCACACATTTAACGGTCAATTATAAGAGTTGATTGTCACATCAGACAAAGTTAACGGAGTTGGACGGATAGTCGGACAGTGATCAAACTTGAACTATTGAAATAATTTCAGTGAGCACGAATGAAATTAAATATTTGGAGTGATTAAACATGAACCTTTTTATTAAATCCAATGACCAAACATGTAATTTAACTTTTTTTTTATTTGTGAAAAATTCCCGGAGAAGTAGGTGGAGGATAGACGTTATCAAGTATCAACAACGCAACACCGGAGCAGAACAGAAACTCCCGCCGAAGTGGCAAAGCAGCGGCACTGACTGACTGCTTTTCCTGCAAATCTGAATTCTTCTGCGGGAGGGCGCACCAGAAGAGAAGTAATGATAGGTTCTAGGTTCGCTTCTTTCCAGCTCCAAGCCCCAACCTTCTTCCTCCCATCCCTCCCGTTCCCTTCTTCTCCTCGCCGGAGGTTTCGTCAGGAGTGCCGGTCTCGTCGCCGGGCGTTTCAAACTTCGCGGACTGGAGCGACCAGTTGCAACTGCAGTGCCGGAGTGAGTAAACCACTGGGTGAAGAACAACATCAGCGGAACAAGCAAGCGCCCAACCGAGCTTACCCTTTCCATGAAATTGAGCCCAAATGGCAGCTCTACTGGGAAGAGAATTCCACTTTTCGCACCCCTGATGAAGTCGATACCTCCAAGCCCAAGTTTTATGTGCTCGACATGTTTCCTTATCCCAGGTCTTTATTCTTTCCCTTTTCACCAACTTGATCATTTCCTTATGATTCAGCATTTGATTTGGTTAATTGTTGCCTCACACTGTCCTGGAATGTGTTAGAATTTGTACCACGCTTGTCTGCTTGATGGATGATGTTCCGATGTTAACCAACCAACATCTTAATGTGGGTTGTTTTGATGTTGCAGTGGAGCTGGTTTACACGTTGGCCATCCACTCGGTTATACTGCTACCGACATTCTTGCTAGGTTCAAGAGAATGCAGGGTTATAATGTTTTGCACCCAATGGGATGGGATGCATTTGGTTTGCCTGCTGAGCAGTATGCCATTGATGTAAGCCATTCAATCACCTCAGTTGTGTTCTAGTGCCTGATCATTCTGGATATACTACATTCTAAGGGAAGCAAAAAAGTGTACCACCTTGTTTGATTAGGTGTTTCTCGTAATATTCCTTGCAGACAGGGACACATCCCAAAGTCACGACGTTAAAGAACATCAACCGATTTCGTTCGCAGGTCCATGTCTTTGCTTGCATTGTTTCTAGTTACATATTCCTTCCATTTGTTCCTAATATCTTCCATGTAATCGGTCTTTGGTGTTACTGCTTATGGCTGCAGCCTTTTAAATTACTGAAAGTTGGAGTTTGTTGCTTTGATATATTGTTGCAGCTCAAATCTTTGGGGTTCTCCTATGACTGGGACCGGGAAATTTCTACCACGGAACCTGATTATTATAAATGGACGCAGTGGATTTTTCTTCAGCTTCTGAAAAGAGGACTGGCATACCAGGCAGAAGTTCCAGTCAATTGGTGCCCTGCTCTTGGAACAGTTTTGGCAAATGAGGAGGTGGTGGATGGAGTTAGTGAACGTGGTGGTCATCCGGTTATAAGAAAGGTATAGTGAAACAAACACTTGTTTAGTCACTTATATGATTCTATTAAGTTCTCTTCTTTCATTATGTTGAATTGTTTTATAATTCTACAGTGTCATTGTTTATTACCAAGCAGCCAATGAGGCAATGGATGCTCAAAATTACTGCCTATGCCGATCGCCTCCTTCGAGACCTAGACGAACTTGACTGGCCTGAAAGCATAAAAGAGATGCAAAGAAACTGGATTGGGAGATCTGAAGGGGCTGAGCTGGAATTTTGTGTTCTTGATGAAGATGCCAATGAAAGAGATGTAAAAATCACTGTCTATACCACAAGGCCTGATACCATTTTTGGAGTGACGTACTTTTCTTAAACATTTGTTTCTTTTTGTGAAGTAAAATTTGTGGACAATCCCCATTTCTGGTTCTTTTTTATATTTCTCTCGGCTTAATTTCATGCAGATATTTGGTTGTGGCACCAGAACATTCCCTGCTTTCAACAATAGTTTCTGTTGGCCAAAGCAAAATGGTATGCAACCACTTCCTTGCAGTATTCATTCTCACTTGTTTATCACCTCTGACAGATTGGTCACCCTTCATCAATCACAGGTGGAGGAATATAAAGACCTTGCTTCTCGGAAAAGTGACCTGGAGAGGACCGAGCTCCAGAAGGAAAAAACAGGGGTTTTCAGTGGCTGCTACGCCAGAAATCCTGCTAATGGGGAAGCAACACCAATTTGGGTTGCCGATTATGTTTTGGGGAGGTATGCTTGGTTGAATTCTTACTTTGGCTATCACACTCTCTCATACATGTGTTGCGAATTAGCCCCTTTTTGGCCTTTTCCTTTTATCTCTATACTCGGAGCTTATTGGCTTTTGTTATCATTAGCTTGCTAGAGTGTTAACAGATTGTACAGTGTAGTAACTTCTGTTCTTGACAGTTATGGAACAGGAGCAATCATGGCTGTGCCTGCGCATGACACCCGTGACAATGAATTTGCTGCCAAATACAACATACCAGTGCGCATGGTTGTAAAGCCAGATGGTGATTGTGTAGATTCAAGCAAGGCTTTTGCAGGCGAAGGCACTGTTTTGAATTCAGTAAATTCATCATCTGGTCTTGACATCAATGGCTTACCTAGCAAAGCAGCAGCTGCCAAAGTCATTGACTGGGCTGAGAAATATGGAAATGGGACAAGAAAGGTGTTCTTAGTTCTTACTGTTAATTTGCATGACATCAGTATTCTTGATAGAAACATTATGTTATGTGTTATTGTACACACTGCAGCTGACTAGCTGAGTCACTTTTCCTTCAGGTGAACTACAAGTTGAGGGATTGGCTTTTTGCAAGGCAGCGTTACTGGGGGGAACCTATTCCAGTTGTTTTCTCGGACGATACGGGTGAAATCATTTCCCTTTCAGAAACTGACCTTCCTCTTACACTACCAGAATTGGATGATTTTACTCCCACGGGGACAGGAGAGCCACCCCTAACAAAAGCTTTTTCTTGGGTATGTTAGTCTCGTTCGAAATGTGCTTTTTATCTTCCGTAGTTCTTTCAAGTTTGTCCGGAGAATTAGAATCATGATATGCCTTGGTACCCAGTAAGAAAGATGATGGGAAGGTCTAGATTGGGATTAATGAACACGTGTAAATAAAGGGAAACAGCAATGAAGAAGGAAGGTATTTGTTCAATCCTTGAAGAATTCTGGAATGGCTGCATAGCTTATGGTTACCAGGCCTTATAGAGATGTATAGGCAGTAAATAATTTGGCAACACCAGTACTTTCTTGTACAGCATGACTAGCTGCTCGTCATTTGTCTTTGACGTTCTTACTTGAAATCCATTTCCCCCACTTAACTATTATAGTTTGGGGCTTCTGTCCAGGTTAACACGGTTGATCCTTTATCTGGAAAAGCTGCCAGAAGAGAAACAAGCACCATGCCTCAGTGGGCAGGTTCTTGCTGGTAAAGTAAAAAAACTTGGCTAAGTTCGAGTTCTTAAATTATGTTTTATCATGTAAATTGCTAATTCCTTGTCCTATGAAGTTAAAATTTCCTGCTTCCTTCTTTAAGCCATAAAATTCTGCATGCTTTCCTTGATTGTTCAGAGGCCATGTACAGGTACTATTTGAGATACATGGACCCAAAGAACTCCAAAGAATTAGTTGACAAGAGGAAAGAAATGTACGTCAGCCCTTTTTGTTATATGCTTATATATATTTCAAGTTAATTTATTTTGTGGGACCGTCTTGGTGCCATTTATTAGCTATATCAATGGATGCTTTTTCCTGTAGCTATTGGAGCCCTGTTGATGTCTATGTTGGGGGTGCTGAACATGCTGTTCTCCACTTACTTTATTCAAGATTCTGGCACAAGGTATGTATCCACACGCACTAGGCTAAGAACACTTTGTTAGTTAGGCTGATTATGCCAGTTTGTCAGCCTAGCTCATGAATATTCATATTTTCTGTAAGTCCCATTCTGAAACATAGCAAATTGATACATAAACAGATGCAAATTAACCCAAAAAGCTAGGCGGTATAAGCTTTCTACCAAAACACCCCTTTTTCATATTTCAGGTCCTGTACGACATTGGTATTGTATCAACCAAAGAGCCGTTCAAGTGCGTGATAAACCAGGGAATCATCCTTGGGGAAGTATGTTCTGGTTTCTGATTCTTTGAGCAAATAGTAGTCCTGAAATAGAATAATTAATAGCCCTGGAACTTGCAGGTTCAATACACAGCTTTCAAGGACCAAGATGGTAACTATGTATCTGCGGACTCGGTTAATGCATCTGATGAACTTTATCAGGAAGTAATACCTGAGGAAAAGGTGATGCATTGCCATTCCATTTCCGTGTTCTATATTTCTTTTCTCTTTCTCACGTTCCTCTTGGATTGACTGTATGGTGGAATTAGTAGCAAGGGGTTAACTTTTCCTTCTGCTTGACATGCAGGTGAAGAAATCTGGAGATGGGTATGTGCTGGACGAGAATCCTGGAATCCAAGTGATGGCACGAGCACACAAGATGAGCAAAAGCAGGGGAAACGTTGTGAACCCTGATGATGTTGTTGGGGAGTACGGAGCTGATGCTTTGAGATTGTACGAGATGTTCATGGGGCCGTTCAGGTACTTTTTAAGTCCCTCTCTGTATAAGTTTTACGATAAGAAAGAGGATGGTTTGAATAAACAATTGCTGAAACAGATGGAGTGTGGTGGTGGTGGTAGGGACACAAAAACATGGAACACCAGTGGCATCGAAGGTGTGTATCGTTTCTTGGGAAGAACTTGGAGGTTGATTGTTGGCTCGCCTCTGGCTGATGGCAGTTTCCAAGATGGGAGCTTGGCGGTTGATGTCGAACCTAGCTTTGAACAGCTCCGTTCTCTTCATAGATGCATAGCCAAGGTGAGACCTTATGAGAGATTTTTTGGTGTGGATTTATCTTTTGCTAACTGAATTGGGAGAATTCTTTTTGGCTGATGCAGGTAACTGAGGAAATTGAAGCCACGCGATTCAATACTGGGATTTCTGCAATGATGGAGTTCGTAAATGCAGCCAATAAGGTTTAGTAAAACTCTGCATCCTTTCCTCTTCTTCCCATGGTTTTGGCAGTGAAGATTCCATTTACACAAGTACTTGTGGTTGGCAGTGGGACAACCTCCCAAGAAGCATAGCAGAAGAATTTGTGCTGGTGTTGGCACCATATGCGCCCCACGTGGCTGAGGAGCTTTGGTTTCGTCTGGGTCATTCCAACACATTGGCGCACGCACCATTCCCGGAGGTAAACAAAAAAAGGGGGAAAAGGAAGGAACTAACTTATCATTATGTGCATGGTTTAACTTGCAGTGTTTGTTACAGGCGAGGTCAGAGTACCTGAAGGATGCAAAGAAAGTGCTCCCTGTTCAGGTGAACGGGAAGACGAGGGGAACAGTGGAGGTAGACGAAGGTTGCTCGGAGGAGGAAGCGTTCCGGATTGCATCCCAGGACAGCAAGCTGTCTAGGTTCCTAGAGGGGAAGTCGATCATCAAGACGATATACGTTCAAGGAAAGATATTGAACGTGATCTTGGGCGGGAAGGGGGCCAAGCCTAAACCGAGACCCAATCCTGATGCTTCACGGATTATTGTTCAATGATAAAACCGGGAGTAGCCCAGTTTGTAAGTACAATTGTGTTCTTCTTCCTATCAGAAATGCCCAATTTGTCCCAATCATCTCTCAAATTGCTGAAGTTAGTGGGTGAAGTGGCTGTGAAGGTGGTGAGTGACGGTGGTGGCAGCCGGTCGCCACCCTCTCTGTCGAGCTCTGCGCTCCCAGAGGGCACTGATTTGCCTCTGGGAGGCGAGTGCTTCTTCGGCTGTCTCCCTGGCAACCTCGCAGGTGTCCATCCCCGCGCTGCACTTGTCAGCTTCCTTCTGATACTGTGATGTCATCTTCTTGGCCTCCAGCAAAGCCACGTCGGCCCGCTGCTGGTTCCTCACAGCCTCCGCCTCTTTCAGCTTCACTTCCTCCGCCAGGAGCTCCGTGAAATTGGACTGCGCCTCCTCGCCCACCTCCGGATCCTGCTTCTTCGTGCATTCTGTCGGGCACCATTCAAAGTCCCAGAAACTGATTCATGACAAGCAATCAAACTGCCGAATTTGAGTGATTCTAGAGCGAGAAGGTGTACCTGAGAAAGAAGTGTTGGCGCTCAGATCTGCAGACATGGAAGATGGGAAGAATTATGCAACAGGGAACGAGGAAACGCGGCATAATACAACAAAATTATTAAAGGAGGAGATGAGATGATTTGGCTGATCACCATCAAAAAGAGAGAACAGTGGCTGAGTGGAGCAGTCGCAGAAGCAAGGTGGACAGTATGAGGAGGAAGAAGAAGAAGAGGTGGCGGTAATGAAATCGGAGAGGTGCCAGAAGAGCGGTGGGATTACAATGTAAGCGACAAGGCAGAATCCCAGGAAAACCATCGCTGTCTTCACTGTCTTTTGTTGTTCCCTGTTCTTCATCTTTTCCTTATGTTTCTTTTCTCCCTGGTTCAGATTGCCAGTTTTTTCTTATATCGGAACATAGTTGTTTGCCTCTTCCTTCGGCTTACAGTTATGATTCCGCATGTCCTTCGGAGTGAGCATCGGCAACTTTCCAATACAAATAACTCCGAGTTTTAATCCAAGCTTTGACCACGAGAATTTTCAACAAAAAAGGAGAAAGGAAGTATTCCATTTTCCATATTAAAATGGGAAAGGTTTTTTCACCCAAAAAAAAAAGGGAAAGGTTAGAGTAAAATCCAACCTGCAAAATCTACGAAACTTGTGTCTTATCATCTGTCTTATCATCTCTGATTTGAATTCTAAATTTTTTTATATGATTCCTATTAGAAATGGTAAGACACTAGGTTTGTAGCTCTTGAGATATGCATCGTAATCCAGACCTTAAAAAATGTTGTTGTTTAATTCAAGTTTTGTAGCTCTTGAGATATAATCCATGATATAGAATATTTTCTTTTTTTAATTGTAAATGATAGATGACAAGCAATGATTTTGTAATTTAGTGGGTTAAGTTTTGAACCTAAAAAAATTTAGGATTGGAAATGTGAATTCATTCATAAAAAAAAATGGGGTGTGCCTACGGTGACATGCATGTCACGGTGACTTGCACTTTCCGGTCGACCTCAGTTAGGATTAGGTCGACCTCACATAGAATTCGGTCGACCTCATATAGGATCCGGTCGACCTCATTTAGGATTTGGTCGACCTCATATAGGATCCGGTCGACCTAATATGTTGTTTCAGTGTAAAAACAGTTCATGGTGCCTACTTTGGATATTCATATCATACAATTGGCTAGATGGAAATTGAAGACTAATGACTTGTTTTGAAGCTGGAGTGTCCCTCTACATATTGAAGTGATTGAGAGCTCGATAGGAAGTCCAGAAGACCATTTTTGAACATCATCAAAAGGCTATGCTAAAACTGGGAAACTGCCTAGAAATGGCTAAGTCTGGAAACGTGTTTGTGAAGCCTATTTTTGAGCTCAATTCGAGAAGCATGAATGCGAGTCGAGTCCAGGAGCCTCTACCACGTTAAATTAGGTATGTTTTTATACAAATTCAAGGAATTGGATGAAAGATTGGATATCTTTAAGGCTTCAAACAAAAGGGTCGAAGTTGCTACGAAGGCTGTTTTTCTGGCAGACTTCGAGCACAAGCAAGCTGCCAGAAAAACAGCCTTCGTAGCAACTTCGAGCCTTTTGTTTGAAGCCTTAAAGATATTCAATCTTTCATTCAATGCCTTGCCTTTGTATAAAAAAATACGTAATTTAACGTGGTAAAGGCCCCTGGACTTGACTCGCATCCATGCTTGTCAAATTGAGCTCCAAAGTAGGCTTGACAAACACGTTGCCAGACTTAGCCATTTTCAGGCAGTTTTCCAGTTTTGGCATAGCCTTTTGGTCAGGTTCAAAAATGGTCTTCTGGACTTTCTATTGAGCTCCCAAGTACTTTAATGTGTAGAGGGACACTTCAGCTTCAAACCAAGCCTTTAATCTCCAATTTCCATCTAGCCAATTGTAAGATATGAATCTCCAAAGTAGGCACCATGAAACTGTTTGTACACTGAAACAACTGATTAGGTCGACCTGATCCTATATGAGGTCGACCGAAAAGTGCATGTCACCGTGACATGCATGTCACCGTAGCAAAGTCCAAAAAAATGTGGATGACATTCGAAGGTAGGATGATTAAAATGGTTTAGTGAAAGGTGTTTAAGACATTTTTGTTGAATCTTGGCATTTCACGGGAAGATCTGGGAAGTTTGTTGTTTGAAACTGAGATATGGAAAAACAAATAGTGTTGTGAGTCGCATCTTATGAAATTGTAGTTTTATTCGTGATTGGAGGAAAAATCCATTCATGTTTGAGTATTCCAATTGGTTGGAACTTGGAACTCTTCTCCCGCGCGTCATATTAAGGTGGTAAATTAGTTGAACTTAATTGAAATGAATAATTGATCATTTGAGAATTATATTTGGTCCCTTCCGTTAGCCGTTAGCCGGATGAATAACATCAATAGCATACAAAATAATAGTAATTACTCAAATTATTTCGGATTCATATGCGAGGAAATAAAGATGGAGTGAACGTATGAGTCCTTTCAAATACGATTCTGAGGAAGGAGAAGCCTCAAAATCATGAGAAGGAAAGGAGTAACAGAGAACGTCTCCCTGATTTACGCCCACAACAGAACAGAGACGGCATAGAGAGCTCGCTCCGTTCTCTCAAAGGCGATGAAAAACACAAATTATTCAGTTACTAAACATATTATTTATTTAGTACCATGAAAAAACACAAATTATTCAGTTACTAAACATATAAAAAAATAACATACATCATAAGTTTTACATCTTGATCATTCACGGACAAAAGTCTTTATCAAAAAATAAACACCACAAATCATGCAAGGATTCAATTGATAAAAACTAAATATTTGAAAGGCACTTCAGTTTAGTTTTGATGTTAGAAATTATTGCAAATTTTCTTTTGGATTTCTTTTTATTGCTCCGCCATCAAAAGCATCTTATCCATACAATTTCATCTTCATTAATGAAACTTCATATTCAGCCTAAAAATCTCTTCCTTCTTCTCCTACATTACATTAAAATCAAATTTCAAAGGTAAAATATTTGAAAATGTGAATCATCTTTTCACGATAGTATAATTTCACCTCGCCTATATCATAAATATTATCAAGCATTCAATCCTTACTCCCATCTTTGAAATTTCTATATCCACCAACAATAAACTCTTCCTTTATCTCAATAACGTAATTATCTACATCATTGAATTCACGACCTCCGTTGTTAACATACTCTTCCTTCTACTCCAGCATTTCACTGAATGCAAAAATTTAATGGCCAAAAATTTGGAATTGTGGAATTTTATATTCAAGAACTTAAATTTACCAAGTATATGTCATGAACTTTATCTGAGATTGCTCTTCTTCACCCTTAATTATCTTCAAATATGTACCCACTAATGGGGTTCGCGGATGTTGTAATCTGTGAGCTTGAGCTGAAATCAACTTCATGCTCTCGGTTTGGGTGGGTTAAGGAGGTGAAAGTTCTCTCGTTTTGTCAATATCTTTGAGTAGTTTCTCTTAACATATTCCAAAAGATCCAGCTCATTCGCGATACAAACAAATAAAGCTAGATTAAACAATGTTGTCTCCAACACGCAGCTTGACCTGAATCTATAAATAACAACAATTGAGATACACTATTTGGACGAAAACTTTTTGTTTTAGTCGGTACTTTGTTTTCTCTCGAATGAATGAACTTGAAGGTTGAAAAAAACAAAAAAAGTAAAGGTAAATTGTTTGGGTGCGCCTACAGTGACATGCATGTCACGGTGACTTACACTTTTCGGTCGACCTCAGTTAGGATTAGGTCGACCTCATTTAGGATTAGGTCGACCTCATTTACGACTAGGTCGGCCTAATCTGTTGTTTCAGTGTAAAAACAGTTTCATGGTGCCTACTTTGGAGATTCATATCATACAATTGGTTAGATGAAAATTGAAGATTAATGGCTTGTTTTGAAGCAGGAGTGTCCCTCTACATATTGAAGTGATTGAGAGCTCGATAGAAGTCCAGAAGACTATTTTTGAACATGATCAAAAGGTTATGCCAAAACTGGGAAACTGCCTGAAAAGGGTTAAGTCTGGAAACGTGTTTGTGAAGCCTACTTTGGAGCTCAATTCGAGAAGCATGAATGTGAGTCGAGTCCAGGGGCTCTACCACATTAAATAAGGTATGTTTTTATACAAATTCAAGGCATTGGATGAAAGATTGGATATCTGTAAGACTACAAACAAAAGGGTCGAAGTTGCAAAGAAGGCTGTTTTTCTGGCATACTTAGAGCACAAGCAAGCTGCCAGAAAAACCGTCTTCGTAGCAACTTCGAGCCTTTTGTTTGAAGCCTTAAAGATATCCAATCTTTCATCAAATGTCTTGCATTTGTAGAAAAACATACCTAATTTAACGTGGTAGAGGCCCCTGGAATCGAATCGCGTTCATGCTTATCAAGTTGAGCTCCAAAATAGGCTTCACAAACACGTTCCCAGACTTGGCCAGTTTCAGACAGTTTCCCAGTTTTGGCATAGCCTTTTGATCAGGTTCAAAAGTTGTCTTCTTGACTTCCTATCGAGCTCCGAAGTACTTTAATAAGTAAAGGGACACTTCAGCTTCAAAACAAGTCATTAATCTCCAATTTCCATCTAGCCAATTATAAGATATGAATCTCCAAAGTAGGCACCATGGAACTGTTTTTACCACTGTTGTCAAAACCGGGCCGGACCGGACGGTCCGACCGCGGAAAACCGGACCCGCCTAGCCATCCGGGTTCGATTGCCTGAAAACGCAAAGGAAATGTGCCGCCCGGGTATTGACCACCGGCTAACCGGCAAACCCGGAAGACCCGAACCGGCTGTTGCAGTCATTTATTCACCTTCCATTTTTTGTTCAACTTTTTATGGAAAATTTTCTTCCTCTCTTCAAAACCGAAAATTGAATGAAAAGGGAAGGAGAATAATTATATTCCTTTTTTTTTTACAATATTTCCACTTTTCTATTGACTCATGCACCTACCGACCATTTTTTATTTTTACTTTCCATCTTTATCTTCTCTATTCTCCTTCTTTCCCCAACTATTCTTCTCGATAATTCCTCCCCTCTTCTTCTTATTTTTAATTCTCTCCATTTAATTTCTCAATTGACCTACATAATTGATCAAAACTCAAAAAAGGAAAAAACCCATCTCTCCCACAATTATATTTTTTTAATATTGAATTCTTCAATTGAATATGTGTATAAGATATAGAATTCTTAATTTAAATACTAATACTAATTTTCATATGCATTATGAAGTCATTTGTATTTTTATTTAAAAATATTATATACCATCGGTTTGATGATCGGTTTTATACCGGTTAATCACCGGTTATTCGATAAACCTTAAACCTCTCACTAATCCGGATTATTATCCGGTCCGGTTTTGATAACACTGGTTTTTACACTGAAACAACAGATTAGGTCGACCGAAAAGTGCATGTCGTCGTAGCAAAGTCCAAATTGTTTACCTAACTACTGTTGTCTTTGATGTTGTTGTATAATTCTTATAAGATTACTCATCGTAGTTTTCTTCAACTTTTCTTTGGCAAGTTTCAATTAATATGT